AAAAAAAAAAAAAAGAATATTAAAATCTTCCTGGTTGTCAAATAGCCCAGAAGGATGATCAAGAATTTTGTAGGCAGAACCCTGAAATTCATATTTGCGGCTAAGATTGCAATAATATTGGAATAATCTCTCTCCTCTAGATTAACTTTAAATCAGATACAGTTGCCTTCCATCTCATGGTATGCCTTAGACGACAGTTTCACAACAAAAAGCATGACTCCCACCTAGAAGAGTATAGTTCAAAATTGAAATGGTTCATAATGGTAGAAAGATTAATCCAGTAGATATTTACTATTCTCAATCATTTTAACTCCGTCATTAGTAATAGAAAGGCTATTTCCACTGCTCTACATAGATGTCATTAAGATATGTTTTCAAATTAGACAGGAAATCTTCTTCCAGTTCACCTTTTTTCCAATATAGTTATACCTGTGCATTCTTTAACTCTCCTCATGTATGCCTAAGTCCCCAAACAGCCACGGCACTTAAAAAGGTTAAAATGTTCTGCTTATAATTGGAGAAGTTATTTGTGTGACTAGGGTCATTTCAGTGCTAGAGTCACAACAGAGGTATGATATAACGATGTGTTCCACGACAAGTAAAAAATCTGACTGCTAAGTGCTCTTGTATGCAGGGAGAACAATCTGATCTTTTGAAAGTCAGACTTCTATAAGCAAAAATCTAACCTTAAGGTGATACATGAAATTCCATAAAACTCATCTGTATAAAGTTGAGACTTTCTCATGTTATTTATTTTATATTTTCTGTAAAATGTGATAGCACAAAGAAGACCGGAAATGGCTGATTAATGAAATCATTGACCCTCCTGATAACCAGAAAGACTGGAAAAGGGCATTTTCCAGCTTTCCACATTTCAGTGAGACCCTGATATAAACAAAAAAGATTTGCCTCAAATTGCTTTTGGTAAAACAAAACTTCACTTCCATTTTGAATATCCTGTTGTGTTAACAAGAACATTAAAAGACTATATCCAAAATATGTTATGCAGAAACCTAACCACATATGATGGTTACTCATTCCAGGAAATCCAATTCAACTAAAACTCTACAAGACATCTGTGAAGCATTTACCAGATGTAGACACTCAAATAAATAGGCAAAATAAATCAAACCTTAATTGCATCTTGAAACTTCGTCGACAGATCTAATCTCAAGTTTTGACCCTCGGTTGACACTCGTTTGCATTCATCCTGCAAAAAACGAGCAACCCATCAGTGTCCACAGCAAGGAAACCTATAATCAATGCCTAAAAGAAGATAAACTCTTCCAAATAAAAATTATTGGAGACAATCAACTAAATTGGGGAATATGATATCATAAAATCTCCCAAAAAATTCCCCAGGTATATCAGACTAGATTCAAAATTGATTGTTATGATTCATCAGTTCTTAAATCTATAGGGTACCAGCAGCTAAGCATTTGTTTAACTTCACATTACAATAAGATACATCCACTCACACAGAAATCAGTAATAAGCCATTCACATTCAATAAATAAACTTACATCGAGCCAACAACTGACCCGCAATCCAGATATTTAAAGAAAGCCACCAAAAGAAGGATTGATTATTTTAATCGACGACCTCGTCAATCTCGTAATCATTGAATTTAATGACATAATTTGGACATTTGAACTTCATTAACACATTCTGAAAACATTTTTGGTATTCAATGAAAAAATTGAAAGTTTTGATTGCCACCTGCCAATCCTACAATCACTCTTTCATTGTAATGCCAATGAGTCACCAATTGGAACAATAATTCGTTAAGAATAACAAAATTTTCATCAGGAGCAGAGCCAAGTCGATCTAGGCATATTCAACACCATGATCCTGCACCAAATATGCAAAGGAAGCCAAGAAAGTTTTGCTTACATAGGCCAATGATAAATATGATAAGTGAAAAGCAGACAACATATATCTTGTCATCCTAAAACTGCAACAATATTTGCTGGCTATGATATAGCACTACATGATTATTTTGGAATTGTGGGTGAAAAACTTCACTTCACTTTCAAAGGACACAACTAAAATGTTGCATATCAATCAGCAGCCAACAGAACCACTTTAACTGACTTCATCAACCAAAGACTATCTTCAATTCGAAGAAAACACAGATGGTAAGATTCTCATAGTCAATTTGTTCTAGATTGCCAATGCAAACAATATCCTTCCAGCATATACGTTCAATATAAATCATTAACAGGACAAGATAATGTGTGGAATTTAACAACCTTAGCCGGCAATGCACTAACAGGCTCTGATTGTCAAAACAAACATATTTTTATGCACCCGCAAAGTTACGTGTTTGTGTGTGTAACTCCCAACTCGAAAGGGTTTGAACAGAGCAAGTGAAAATTCTAACAAGATCTTATGACTCAATGGCTCAAATTTGTCCAGATGTAGTGGATACTAAAAAATAAAAAGATAGGAAATTCAATTAATATCAAGGGCAGAAAGCAAAGGTGTACTTTAACTTTGTTTTCTTTAATGTCGTGCAGAACATCTCCTCCAACCTCTATGGTGCATACTTCTTTCCCACCTCAACTCTACAGTTTACATAGGGGAAAAAAGTTCTCATTTAGCTGGAAATTTACAAATAACATGTGGCTGTGAAAAAATTCCCTTCCCCAGCCTCTTCACCCAAAAAGAACCACAAACAGGAACACACCCCATGCACGTACAAAGACACAACAAGACAGCATGAGGTGATGACGCTTGAGAAACACATTTTCCAACACTTGTCCAGAAATCACAAGCAATACTTTATAACCAAAGTACGTAACACAATCTAATCATCTGGAGAAGAATATAATTTAGAACATGGTCAGTTGAAACAGATGAAGTGCACAAGATAGAGTATACCATTAACATTTTGTTTTGACGCTGCAACTCCCGACACAATGACTCAAGTTTATCTCGAACTGCAATGGCTGAGAAAAAGAAAAAACAGGTAATGAGTAAATTGATGGAGAAAAACCAAAAAAATAAAAAGTGAAGCTTTCTTCAATACTGTCAGGAAAAAATATAGTGTATGCTATGTAAATATATCGAGTATATATCTTAGCAGGCCCTTTTGTTTGGAACTTGCAATATGTACAGCCAAAAGTGTAGTGCTTTGGCATATGATCTCAAACAATATGGCCTCTTAACTTATCTAAAAAAGGCCATCTTGAGGGAATCAACTCAACTGTGATATTTGATCATATAAATACCATATATTACTACTGCAGAAGATTACTTCCATAGCAATAATTGATCAAATAAGATGGCATACCCTAGACGCCAAAAAACATTAATTTGCAGAAAGTTGCCTTTTATCTTCTTTAAATAACAGCCAAATTCAGTCTAACCACACCACTACATAGACACAGAAGAATCGAGACTAGGATCGATCAAGTAGCAGTCCTTAAGTTCAGCAAAGTTTTTGGGGAACTACATGCAAACCCATCCCAAGTAACAAATCATTAGCACCCATGACCAAATAAACATGTTTGAGACATAAACCGGCCCAAATTTTATCATGCGTAAATATTAGCAGACTCCTCAAATCACATGGGAGTAGTGAAAATGAGGTACCTCCATCTCTTTCCGCAAGAACTTGTTGATACTTCAAAGTGAACTCTAGAAACTCTTTCTCTGATTTAAAGGTACGCTTTGCATTCTTACGTTTCACTTCAGAGGCTTCCTGGCACATAAAGATAGAATCACAAATGCCGAATGTGATATTCAGATTCAATATTTAAAGATGCAACTGGTCAAATGAAAATGGCAGTGCTACTGCATCCACAAGACCTACTTGGAATATCTATTGGAATTTACAACCATCCCATTTATGTGCAATGCAATCTAAGCACAAATTAGACATATATAACCAAATAAACGTAACAGGGTTAGTGTTCAATTTTCAATAATACTCACTTGTTGCAACAAAAGATACAGAACAACCCTCCTAAGCTTGTAGTATGCTGACCAGGGATGATCACTTCAAACTCCTGCACTATGTGCATTCACACTAGCAGCCTAACTAACAACTTCTTCATCTTATTCTTTCCCCAGTTTCCTCGAAACAATGCCCTAATTCCAATACCTTACCTTCCTCGCAAGTCGGTCACATCTTTTCCTTCCCACAGATCTTTTCAACTAGATTCAGCATGAAGATGGCCCCCAAATAAAAATTCTAGAAATAACAGTGTCTATGATACTGTCATCTTCTACAGTATCATATACTTACACGCCATGGAATTGTGCTCAAAGCATTCACAGCACTATTCAGTAATGTTTTTTGTAAAAAATGAGAGCCAGCTATTTGAACAAGAATCCAGTATGCTCAAACTCATAGGAGGTACCTTCTTTAACAGGAGATCGAATTAAAATCTAGATTCTAGACTTACTATCAGTTCACCTTAAGGCACTTGAAGAAAGATATAAGCTAAAACTTGTTAAATGAAAAAACCCTCAGTCCTGGTAAAAGCACTATAGCATACATGACCAAGCAAAATAATAACAATTCTTGTAATCAATATCAATATTCTTGTCACATAAAACATGAGGAGAAACCTGAGAGAAAATCAAGAAAATAGAGTGGGTAATTCAAAATATGCATGATTATAAGGATGATGATATTACTGACTGTTTTTTTGTTGCTTTCAACACTCTCCACTGAAGATATCACCTTGGCATGGGTTGGTTGTGGATCTAAGCCTCCCTCAATTGCTACAACGAAAAAAAAAATCTTGTCAGAAATAAATATAAGATAAAGGTAGAAAATAAAGACACATTAGTCTACAGTTTATTACAAATTGTGGCTCTGCAGTGATTATGACCAAAAAAACACTTAATAAGGCTTTGTTATGTTTACCCTGTCTTAGAAATATATGTATTATCATGTACATTAGATAAGAGTGATAGTACAAATAATTATAACATAAAATTCTACTTACTAAACTTTCAATCAGCATGGTAGGCTCATCTAAAAACAAGATTGTAGTTATAGGAAGAATGTACATATAGAAACACTAGACTAGTATAACTTGGGCTAAAAGGAAGCATATTCATCAAGGAAGCATGGACACTTTATTTTGGTCAAAATGTTAGTGACAATTTTGGACACCTCCGGGACATAGACATGCTCGAACACGTGTCGGACACACTAAAGTGAGTGTCCGATTTTTTTATTGTTAAATTATTTCAAAACATGTTGGCGACACACAACCAAAAAGCGTGGGATACGTTGGGGACACGAAACCTACACTCAGGAGGACACATCTTGAGGTTTTTTTTCACATTTTTGAAAATTTTTCAAATAACTTTATAATTAAGGAAGTTATTTTTGTAATTTTAAATAGAAACAAGTCAAAGACATAATATAAAAAGAGTTATAATCACTACATAAAAATATGACACGTAAATAATATAATTTCGGACATAATAATAAAATTATATACTAATGGAATAAACTTGTTATATAAAAGTAATATAATGAAAATTGGGGTTATGAAATTTGGGTTCTTTCAAACTGATGAAAATTAGGGTTACAGAGCGGCATAAATTTTAAAATAAAAATTGTAGTAGTCAATTTTTTTTGGATAAGAAACAACAAATTATTGATAACCATAAGTCATTACAAGTATCAAGTCATGGACAAGAAATCCAACACAATGATAGGTTAAGAAAAGCATACAAGAAGAAAAACAAATTACAAGCTACATGATGCTTTCCAACTTGCTCTAATTGTAGTAGTCATTAATAGTTGGATCAGGGATGTTTATGATGAATGTGTTTGGGTAAATGTGATATTATATTTTTTATTATTGATTTCATGATGTGAATTGTTAGAATTAAGGAAAAAATGAACTGAATGATTATTATTAAAATATATTTATTTTATCACATGATTATATATATATATATATATATATATANAACCAAAAAGCGTGGGATACGTTGGGGACACGAAACCTACACTCAGGAGGACACATCTTGAGGTTTTTTTTCACATTTTTTAAAAATTTTCAAATAACTTTATAATTAAGGAAGTTATTTTTGTAATATTAAATAGAAACAAGTCAAAGACATAATATAAAAAGAGTTATAATCACTACATAAAAATATGACATGTAAATAATATAATTTCGGACATAATAATAAAATTATATACTAATGGAATAAACTTGTTATATAAAAGTAATATAATGAAAATTGGGGTTATGAAATTTGGGTTCTTTCAAACTGATGAAAATTAGGGTTACAGAGCGGCATAAATTTTAAAATAAAAATTGTAGTAGTCAATTTTTTTTGGATAAGAAACAACAAATTATTGATAACCATAAGTCATTACAAGTATCAAGTCATGGACAAGAAATCCAACACAATGATAGGTTAAGAAAAGCATACAAGAAGAAAAACAAATTACAAGCTACATGATGCTTTCCAACTTGCTCTAATTGTAGTAGTCATTAATAGTTGGATCAGGGATGTTTATGATGAATGTGTTTGGGTAAATGTGATATTATATTTTTTATTATTGATATCATGATGTGAATTGTTAGAATTAAGGAAAAAATGAACTGAATGATTATTATTAAAATATATTTATTTTATCACATGATTATATATATATATATATATATATATATAGAAAAGACATATAATTTGATGTGTCGTTTTGACGTGTTTGTGTTGTGTCTCATATCCGTGTTCATACTTCTTAGATATTCACTATTAGTAAGTAAAAAACACATGGCCAAAAACTATGTAGCCAAAATGAAAGGAAAAAACAGACAATCAAAATAGAAACGAAGTTAATAGTTAGTCACATACAGCATCTGCATTCTGCCCCATGCTAGGTCATTTTAGGAACACCTTTGCTTGAGGTTTAATTTGTAGAGCATATGTGTAGGGAAAGCATAACCAAATTTTATTAGCTTCAGTTCATCTGAAGGCAGCCTTGCCTCAACACAACCTCTAAAACAGCTTTCAAAAAAACCCAACGTGAAAATACTTATGAGTAATAATCAGTCTTATTGAACTTTTGACAACATTAGTACACAATCAAGAGTAGTATCCTGCACCTCCTCCTTTCGAAGTGGTAGAAGATACCACTCAACCTAATAGCTATGGTAACTTTCTTATTTCTTTTCGGTGAAAAAAACAACCATTTTCCTGCAATTTTTTTGGCACATGCAGTCCCTAAAAATTAAATATGACCAAAATAATTTCTTTGTTAGCATCCGATTATATAAAAGGAACATTTATGCCCCTTTTTATTGTGAGAAAAAGGGGGGTGTCTATGTAAGTTCAAGTGTTCTGGTTTTAGATGGTAAGCACTAAGCAGCATGCATTTATATAAACATGTGTAAATAGATGAAGATCAACACAAACAAATATAATTAAAAAAAATGGGAACACAGGAAACAAACTGTAAACCTAAACTGGTGGAAATTACTATGCAAGTTGCCAAATTATATTTCCTGCAGTTCACTGTTTCTTTCTTTCAGTAAACAAGCCTACTTTGTCATGTTATTCGCTTTCCAGTTTGCCACGATCGTGAATTAAACTCAAAGTTGATAACTTAAAACAATTATCCGTGAAAAGGATGACATGCAAAAACTGCAATGCAACTTATCCAAACAAAAAAGAGGGCTAGAAACACAAATTGCAATTAAGGTAAAGGTAAAGGTAAATACCTATCTCTGAGCTTTGACACTTCCTTTTAACCTGCTCTTCAACAAGAACCGAACCACCCAGTCTCTCTCCTATTTCTTTCACTGCATCCCCAGAGCCAGAACTAGCCTCTACACCTACCACTAATATATCTTCATTCTTCTCTATATGATCCTCATTGATCACGTCAACGGACTTTTGCAAAGCATCAAAAGTATCATTTTCAGATAATGCAACAGGAAAAGTCCTCAATTTCTGAATCTGCACTGTATCGCACTCACTCGACTGAAAATCATTGACTACAAATTTGGGTCCCAAATCGGGTTCTAGTAATTTCTCCTCCTTATAATCAGTCACCGGCTTTTCTTGCTCCGGCGTCGGAGTAGAAGGAGCCAATGGTTCTGCTGCGCTTTCAACAAATCCATCAGGCAATGAATCAGCCTCAGGAAGCTGATTTGCAGCTGGGTTTTCCATTTGCCTACAGTTTCAGCATAAAACCTCAAATGCCAAAACAAATATAAACATATACAAGTACATTGCACACACACACACACACACACACAATCAATCCGATCTTTTATGTATCAAACATATGTAGATGCACATTCACAAACCCTAACTTTATACGTGTATATGTTATAGAAACAGGAATTGAGGTGCCACATACCAGAAAGGGTAAACCCTAAAAGTGTGAACTGGGAATTGCACGTTCTCTCTCTCTCTCTCTCTCTCCCCTCTCTCTCTTCCAACAGACTGCTGTGCTGTTCTATAGGAATATGAAAATGTTGGCTTTGGGATAAAAACGGAAAAAATGAAAGAATTTTATTTTATTTTTTCGNCTCTCCCCCCTCTCTCTCTTCCAACAGACTGCTGTGCTGTTCTATAGGAATATGAAAATGTTGGCTTTGGGATAAAAACGGAAAAAATGAAAGAATTTTATTTTATTTTTTCGAGAGGATTTTTTTTTTTTTTTGGTTAATAGCAATTTTAATTCCTATGTGCATTTTGTCAATTAGTCTTTAAAGTGTCAATTTTATCAATTTTATTCTTAAAATATTTAATTTATATTTAAATAATCCCTACATAAACGGTATATTAAATTTTCAACGGAATAATTACATATTAGACACGTAATACTATTTGAAAAAAATGATATATAGTTATTTATATTAAAAAATTTAACGAATTGTCTAATTAGGGATCAAAGTAATACATTAAAAATTTCAATTTTTTTTATCTTTTTCATAATTAAAAAAAATAGTTGATTTTCTGAACTTTTACCTTCACATCTATTACCTATGGTCCTTTATTTTGGTAGCAAAATGTTCTTTGTTTTTCGAGAGCAATATTATAAAACTTAAAAAATTATAACTTAAATACATATTATATCTTGGATTAGTAGGTACTATCAATTTTTTTAATGGGACCTACTCATTCAAGCGATGATATGAATTTAAATTTTAACTTTTGCGTTTTATTTGAATTATGTAATATTTTTCTACCCCAAAACCCCAATCTTTCAATAACTAATTTAAACGTTCAACAATTTATATAATAGGTTGAAATAAAATGAGGTAGTTTTAGTTTTAAATGGGTTGAGGTAAAAAAAAATTATCTAAGGGGGTAAAAATTGCCCATCCTTTTTTTTTTTTTTATAAGTTATAACTATGATGAATTTATAGTATGATGCACTCTATTAAATTTGATGGATGAGTAAATGGATTTAATTTGAGGGGTCAATTTATTATTGTCATTAAATTAATATTATGTTTTAATATAAAATTAAATCTATTATTAANTTAAATTTTAACTTTTGCGTTTTATTTGAATTGTGTAACATTTTTCTACCCCAAAATCTCAATCTTTCAATAACTAATTTAAACGTTCAACAATTTATATAATAGGTTGAAATAAAATGAGATAGTTTTAGTTTTAAATGGGTTGGTGTAGAAAATGTGAACTTAATAGGTCGAAATAAAATAGTCAAATAAGGTAAAAAAAAATTATTTAAGGGGGTACAAATTGCCCATCCTTTTTTTTTTTTTTTATAAGTTATAACTATGACGAATTTATAGTATGATGCACTCTATTAAATTTGATGGATGAGTAAATGGATTTAATTTGAGGGGTCAATTTATTATTGTCATTAAATTAATATTATGTTTTAATATAAAATTAAATCTATTATTAATTTAATAAACACAATTATATAAATCCTCATTTCAAAGATAAAAATATATTATTAGTGAAAAAATTTTGAGGAGGGAATTCAAACTGGTACCCTCCACTAAATAAATCCTCTTTATCATTTTGAATACCCCCCCCCCTCTCTTCCAAAGAATGGAAGGGTAATATAATATTAATGGTACTCAAATTTATTATTAGTAGCATTTTGGCTCTTAAAGTATCAATCCTGATAACTTAATCTCTTACCTTATGACAAAATACCACATGCCCAATACATGATGCAATTAGAATGCTATTAGGTTAATGTTCAACACTTTAGATCCAGATATTTTGTTACTGATTTGTACAACACTAACTTTAGTGTACACATTTTTTCCTTTTTTTTTTTACCAATCTTAAACGAATTGAGTAATACCAATAAAAGTAATGCATCAAGTTAAATGAGATTGAATAAGCATCCAAACGATTAAACTTATGTAAGTAGAATTAGTAATTAACTCAAAATACCATTGTTCCACAATTGTAAATACTTATCTACTACCACCATCATCGTTTCGACCCCCTCCCACCCCTCAAACCCCCGCAACCATCACAATCATCATTGCCGCCAACTCCATTGTCATGGCCAAAGAAGTTATGTACAAAAAGAATCCCTCGAGTAAATGTAACAAAGGGATAATTCAAAATTCATAAAATTTGAAAGGCAGAGATCCTAATCCCAAGTTCAGACCATTTGAAAAATCACTGAAGTTCAATGGCTTCAAAGACAGTAAGCACAACACCACATTAAAAAACACTATCACAGTCAAGTATTCCCTTGATTACCAGCACAACTCACAATACACAAAAAAAAAAACAACATATACAATGCATCATCGGCAACATGGTAGATCATCCACCCTTAGGTAGTTTAGTGATTGAATCTGATATTTAATAATTTATTCAAAGGTCTCAAGTTTAATTCTTTCTCATACTCTCTGAAAACAAATCATTTTTATCTCTTTAAAGATATATTTTAACTCAGCTCAAATCACAGGAATCAATTTTTGAATTCAAAAGAATAATCAACATAAACTTAGACAATTTATAACAAAAAAAATTTGTAACAAAAAAAAAATAATAAAGGAGATGGTTTCAATTCGATGATTTCGCTGGGCTAAGCCATCTGTCTACCTCCAATCCCGCGCCCTAGATTCATGCAACAAAACGACCTGGCCAGGTGGTCCCTACGCCTCAACCTCCCGCCACCGTCCACCACCTCCTTCTCGCCGCTGGAAGATGCCGGAAACATCAGTGCCGGAGGTCGGCGATTCTGCCTCTCCCTGATAGCACTTAATTCCATCTCCGGTTTAAACTTCACCGGTCCAAACATAAACATATTTCGTTTCGACGTCGCCGACATGGACGTGAGAGAACTAATATTCATTTTCCGGACAGACGAACACCGGAATGAGTTTGCTGAAGTTTTCTTGGTAACATAACTCTCTCTTTCATCGTTCAAGAACTGAACAAAACTAGTAGGCCCCCGAAACGACGCCGGTTCGATCGGGCTCAGGTAATGATCTCTCTTTCTATACTCATCATTGAGTGATTCTACTTCTGGGGGTTCGATTGAAATTATCTTTCCCCTGAAAATGACGTCATCAGAGGTGGTGGCGGTGGGGTACGTTTCGGAGCTTAAATTACTGAAGAATTCGAAGAGTTCTTGGGCGGAGGAAGTTCTTGGGCTGCTGTGAAGAGAGGGATGGTCGTTTATGGTGAGGTAGCGTCGGAAAGAGGGAGTTTCCCCTTCTTCGAATTCCTGAGAAGCTGTGTTGTTTGTGTGTTCCATTGGTTTGAGAATGCGAGAGGAATGAGAAGAATAGTGATGAGTTGAGTGCTATATATATGAAACCAGATGGTGGTAGGTATTGCAGTGTGCAGTGGAAGTAACGTTGCGTGGCAGAATTTGGAAGGATATATATAAGGGAAAATGTTATTTGGATTTAAAAATTTGACATAATTTGTTGACTTAATGACGTGTTTTCATTAGAATCATTCAATTAATACTAAATTTTAATGTTTGATAGAGTTCACAATTAATCAAAAGATCATAATAAATTAGGTTAAAAAATATCAGCAGTTTTTTTTTTTTGGGGGTTCTAGATGGATTGATGTAGTTGATTTAAATGGCCCCCTTCTACCAAAATTATGAATTCGAACTTTAGCACTCATTAAATAAGTTCTTACATATATACAATTACAAATTTATTATTAAATAAAATTGAATGAAAATATAATAGACATGATTTAAATTCTAGAGAAGGGGTAAGAAATACTTCCTCTTGTTAGGTCTTCCTAATGGATCGGATTTAATTTGAGTTTAACTTGACTATAATTTTCATTTTATATGATTAATATTGAAATTTGTTAATAATCAAAATTTTGAACTGATCCAAATAATAGTATTAGAACGAATTTGAGTGAATTTCAGAAAATAATAACTCATTTTCTCTTCTATTCTCGTGTATGTGCAATTAATTCAAATCAGATCATAATTGAGTGGAGTGTTGATATGTTCATATCTAATATAATTTCATGAATTTAATTAAGCATAATTAGTCAAAAATATTAATATAAATTCAACTGATTGATTTGGAATTCAAATCTGGTGCATTGAGGACCAACTGGATGCCAGTGTAGAGGGGTTGATAGTGAAAGGTAATCTGGAGGAATGTAGGGATAGGTTGACATTCTTAGATGCCCAAATAGAAAAAGACAACGATAGGGTTTAATCAACAGCCAAAATCCACGAGGTGGGGTTTCTAGAAGTTTAAGAACACTGTTATCCAGATCACTTAAGAAATACTTATTTAAAGATAGGAAAAATTACATTTTGACCACTTAACTATGGACTTAATTTTAGTTTACCTATTGAACTATTAATTTTTTTACATTGTCTCCTCAATTATTTAAGGTATTTTAAATTGCCTGGACGCAAACATCTACTATCTTTTTAGACGGAATTTGGTAATGTGTTGGGGCAAAATGAAAAAAAAAAAAATCACATAGCTTGAGAGACAAAATGAAATATTTTTTTTGTCAAATTTGCGTTGGACATTAATAATTGGGATAATTCTATGAAACACGGATACATTGTTGAGGTCGATGTACTTGTATCAGATACGATATTCATTGAATATTTATCGAATACTCTTCTTACATATTCGATAATTATAAAATATTTGAATACTTCGAGGATACTTTTGTGTCATAGAAATGTGTATAATTTTGAATTTATTCTTTAATATCTCCTTTCAAATTCACATACCATATAATATACTAGTGGTAACATGTGCCTAAAGACACAGTAAGTGAGAAGTGATAAATTTTTCGGGGGAGAAAAATTCAATGTGATTGGTTTTGAGAGAGATGTTGATTGCCGTTACATGAGTCTATTTAAGACTGTTGGATGAACTTATTAAAGTCCGTAATATTTTATATTATAGATTAACAAAAATGCACACTGCTTTGACAACATATGAGCATTTTTTAAATATTATTTACAATTAAATATCAAAAGAGTATAAAATAAATCTATTATATTATAATCTTAACTACAAATACTTCTAAATAAACCAACTAAAATTTTGATTCCTTTAATTAATTACTTTATTATGTGAATATACCAGAATAATATAATACATACTTTAAAAAAATTAGAAAAAAAATGCTAATGTTCCTTATTATGTTAAAGAATTACCAAAATATATAATTAGTAAGTCAGTAGATAATAGTAAAAATATGAAATATATTTTATTATAAATATATCTTGACCATATTCATATTCTATTTTTTAAATTTACTTTTATCTCCTTATCCATAGAGTATCATGATCGTATCCCACATCGAGGCCCGGCCCACATGGCTTCCCACTTTAGGCGGTTGCTTAGGGCTCATTTGGGCTGGAGGGCCATTTTTAAAAAATAAGTAGTTATAAAATGTAACAACATTTTCTTTTATTTCTGTATTGTTTGAGCCTTATTATTTTATTTAGTTATAGAGTAGAAAGTCTCATCTTTTAAAATATCTAAGGAAACTCATCTTTTAGATACTATTTTATATATTTTTTATTTCACATATTAAGCAATTCATCCCATATATTAGCTTATTACAAACCTTAAATAATTCAATTAATCTTTTCATCACGAATCATAGATTTGCATATTTGATACTAACTTTCAAAAGCATCTTCAAGTCAAAAAAAAAAAAAAAAAA